TGCAGTGGGCCAGGCGAGGTGGCACCTTCTGGTCTCGGTGGATGACGCGGCCCGAGTGGATGAACTTGGCGGCCCGCAGCAGCTGGTAGAAGATGTAGCGCTTGTGCACGTCCTTCAGCAGCGTGCCCTTGCAGATGACGGCGTTCAGGTCCGTGTCTGGGGGGCACCGAGGCAGCAGTGGGGTCTGGGTTAGCCCAGGGGTCCTGGGGAGAGCAGCTCGGTCTGTCCCTCTTGGAACCGCTCAGGGCACCTGCTGGCCGCTGCCCGCTGAGCCCAGGTCCCGTGGCCGCCGGCAGGGCCACGCCCTGGGCGGTACACCTCCCAGTGGGCCTGCAGGCAGCGTGGGCCTGCTCACTCTTGGGACAGCAGGAAGTTTGTGGAGTTGTTTTATTTATTTTATGCCTTTGTTTTATTTTGATTTTCTGGTTAAACCTCACCTGAGGGAATTGCCCACTGGCTTTAGAGAGAGTGGAAGGGGAGGAGGAAGGCACAGCTCAGTCAGGGCTGGGGTGGAGCCTGCAACAGACCCTTCAGTCCACAGGCCAACCCTCTTTCCACCGAGTCCAACCAGCTCGGGCTGTGCCTTCGTTTTATAAAATGAGTAGAAAAAGGAAAAGGAGCTGCGAACAGTGGACACAGCAGGGCCTCTGGGGGCACTGCCATCAGCCAAGCTCTTTGTCCTTGGGCACAGGCACTACCCAAGGGGCGGGTGCCAGCCACGCGGGACCTGAGGAGTCGAGGGGCGTTCCGTGGGAGCCAGACCACTGGAGGGGGGTCTCAGGCGAGGGCGGGGAGGCGGGGGGCTGACGAGGCCTGACTCACCCATAAACTCAAACACCAGGTAGATGTCCCTGTCATTCTCCGCCTGGATCACATCCAAGAGCCTAATGATGTTTGGATGGTCCCCAAATTCCTGGGGAGAGAGCCACAGCTGTGTTCCGGGGTGGGGGACCGGCTCCCGCTTTTGGGGGGACTGCGCCCGGGGGAGGGGCTGATGCCGTGGCCACGCACCTGGAGCAGCATGACTTCCCGGAACGTTCTCTGGAACGAGGCGGAAACACACGTGTGTGAGGCAGCAGGGCCCACAGGCGTGGGGCTCGCCACCCACACCCACCTCACCCTGGGACCGCTCCTCAGAGCAGGCCCAAGGCAGGGGGCCGGCCCTGCCCTCGCCCTTTCCACGCTGTTACCTGGGCATCCGTCTTATCCCTAAAGGCATCAAAGATTTTCTTGATGGCCACGACCTCGCCAGTCCTCCGATCCACCGCCTTCCACACAATTCCATAGGCCTGGGGAGGAGGGCAGTCAGCCCCTGTCCCCACCCAACCCCCCTCCTTCCTGGTCTGGCTGCTGGGAGAGGTAGGAGTACAATGAGGGCCACTGCAGGCTGCTCAGGACCCCAGCATCCTTGCGGGGAGGGGGGGGGGGGACAGGCAGCAAGGGGAGATGGAGGCCAGGGAGGGTTGGGGTCTGGGGCAGTACCCTTCTCCAGGCACCCTAACCTCTCTCTCATGCTCCAGCCAGCCGGTCAGCAAATCCTACTGGCCGTTCCTTCAGAATTCATCAGAATCCAACCATTGCTGCCATGTCTGTTGCCCCCCTCCCCCTCCCTCCCAGCCTGAGCCTCCCGCAAGTCTGGCCTGGCTAGTGGAGGCGAACATCTGCTCTCATCTCCCTTGCCCCCCGCCCCCAACAGCGGCAGGTGGGCCTGGTAACCTGGCACCAACGGCTGCGCCCACTCCCGGAGTCACTAAACGTAGAACCCCAGTCCCCAGAGCTCCGGAGATCCGCCCGACCCGTCCCCGTCACTTACCCAGTCTCAACAACCCTGGTTCCCCCCAAGTCAAGCCTTGGCCCTTGCTGTGTGCACTGCCCCCCATGAACACACGCGCTCACACAGCTTCACATACACACTCCTGCACAATCCCACGTGCTCACTCACGACCACAAACACGCGTGGGCTCACACACGCTCTGGTTCCCGATGCACGTCCACCGCGTTTATCCTCTCAGCGCCCGCCCCCCTCAGAGCCGGGGACAGGGGGGTCCAGCCCCCAGGGAGCAGTGTGGGCGCCGGGAGCCAGAGCTGGGGAGCAGGGACGGCGGGCAGGTGCTGCTCCGGGACCCAGAGCCGTGCCCCTGGGAGGAGGTGATGCCGGGGGCCTGTTACCGGAAACCGAGGCCACACCTCCAGCAGGTGGCGGAGGCCCGATGCCAGCCTCGGTCCCCACGGAGCCGGGGAGACAGACCCTGCCTGGCCTTGCGGGCGCGGCCCGGCTCACCC